GCATCGCATCCGGTGTGAACGCAGCATAAGGGGCGGGACATCATCACAAGTTAATGACCAATCACAACAGAGCCGGCCAGCTAACCAATCAGAGCAGACTGGGCTCTGGTTTCAGACAGAGGGTGAAAAGAGGTGCTGCAGCACAGGCAGTAAGAGACAAATGAAGAGCTTTTTGAACATTAAAGCATGGAGACATGTCCCAGTAGAGGCACAGTACTTTAGCTTAGAGTTATTTCAGATGTATATACAGTTGTCAAGCGTCTGAAAATCTTGGATCAACATCGGCGCATTAAGATTCTCAAACACTACCCAGACTGGTGGATAATGTCAGGCTCCAGATATTTAAGGTAAAAGGGGGGAAAACATAAAAAAAGGCAAACTATCCACAAGATGTTGTGTTCTCAGGTTGCTGGTCAAGGAGACGTTAAATCGATTTAAGAGACAATTTAAACTCAAAATACTGAATTTCTACAAACATTTTCTAATTGGTTCGGTTTCATGTAGTCATTAAAAAAAGCTCACTCCATTCTTGAAAAGTATGGACTCACTTTATTAAACTCATATCAGTATAATAACTTTGATAGTCAAGAAGTATGGAGTAATGATGGATGTTCGCAGCACAGGTTTAACACATCCTTTATATATCATTAACACCTTTTTTTTTTATCAATATAGCGATTTAATGAATGATTATGGCGGATGATATAATTATCATTATAAAGTCAGACATAAAGTCAGACATTTTTCTTGCAAATTCAAACAAATGTAGCAGCTACAGCACATTATTAGTGGATTATAATCCAATGTTTTAGGATTTCAAGGCTTGTAAATGCTTTGAAACTGATGGTATATGTAATACCTATAAGCAGGGCTGCACATAACTGGTGCGCATGCGCACCTCCGCCAAAAAATGAGCACCGGGTCATTTGAAAAAAGGCGCATTTGCGTACCAACATTGAGGGAGAGAGAGGAGAGAGAGGAGAGAGAAGAGAGAGAAGGGAGAAGAGAAAAGAGAGAAGAGAGGAGAGAGAGAAAGATATTTGCGAGTTGCACATGAACTCAGGGTTGGCCCCGCCCCCGCCCCCGCCGTAGCACTGGCGTTATAGATGTTCGCCTAGGGCGCCAGATCCCTGGAGGCGCTGCGCTGGCAGCTCTGGGAGGGAAACACAATTTTTTGACCGTTGGGGCTCATCCTAATTTTCGGCCTTGATGTAACAACATTCATAATTAAGTAAATGTAACACCCTTTTCACCCCGGTTACACGTTTCATTTGCCCTGTACGATGGGCGCTGTAAGTGATGAAAATGGGGGATGTTGGCTTAGCTGGCGCCCGCAGCTCACAGCCAAAGTGCGAGTGAGCGTGGGAGAGAGGGAGGGTGCACCGGTTCCGGCGCTGTTGTTATTAGCATCTGGTGCTAGCTGCTCTAACGGATATAAGAAGAAGATGTTTCTACAATAATGTGGAGGGAGAGTCCTCTCCAGTCAGACTGAGGCTGATAACTACAGCTCAGTGAGGTAAAGGACTCTGAGTGTTTAGATAGTTCACTTTAGTCTAAGTTGTCTCAGTGGGTCTCAAACGTTTTGGTCACAATTTATGTAAACACATATTTCCAAGGCACTCCTTTATAATTATTGGGATAAACAGGTTTGAAATCATTCCAATGTATACTATAGGACAGTAAACCAAAAATATCCTTTAACACTGGAAAGATTTAAAAAAATGCATAAATATATAAATGTTAAGGTAAAATAAGATATGAATGAACAACAACAATAAAATAAGTTACATTAATTTGTTATTGGCTATGGTAGGTTATTGGTTATGTTCACATACTTATTTGATTACATCCACTTGTCTAAGATGACAACAGAGACTTTCGACCCAAAACCAGCAGCTATCGCAGACTCAACCAGAGAGAAAGAAGTAGGCCTACATCATCAGCTACCATGTCTGACAGAGAGGAAGACAGTCAGGAGAACAGTCAGGAGGGTAGTGATGACAGCTTGTAGGATTACTGGTCGTGCTAATGTTGTCTTGTGTTCACCTCTGCATGTGTGTTCTGTGTTCACCTCTGCATGTGTGTTCAGTGCCGTGTGTCTGGCAAATAAAGTCCAGACCCCCTCAAAAGTTACGGTTTATTTCATTTTAAGGATGAGCACCAAGCAACATCTCCAGGTGCTCCTTTGAGAACCAGGGCAAAAAAGTTATGTGCACCCCTGCCTATAAGGCTCTCCTGTGTTTCTCTTGGCTGAACAGCGCGCCACAATTCAACTGCTTAAACTCAGGTGTCAACACAGGTCAGCTAAGAAAAATAAGATTGAGTTTTGGTACATTTTTGGGCCTGTTATTCAACATTTTTAATAATAAAGTTCCCCTCTAGAAGCTCATGAAAACCTCGAGTCTCTTTGATTGAGTTATTTTGTTGAGTGTGTCCACATAATGTCCTGGATGCTTACCACTAAAGCTGGGGCGTGACTGATTACTGTAATAACCCTCAATTTAGTCAAAACACATGACACCTTTGTGGTTGCAATGCATTCTGGTCTATTGGCGCCACTTTAAGTAGAAACTCCCAAGCTTTTTTTGGATATTATGAGAGACTTGTACCTAAACTTTTCACATTTTCATAAAATAGAATGTTGGTAACACATCACATTGTGTAACTTTACAATCATGTTCAAAAGTTTAAGATTTTTTCTGTCCATCAAATGTACATTTCTTATTAGGAAAACACCACTTTAGCCCTGAGACGACATCACCACATCCAGGCCCGGTTCCAGAACAAAATGACTCAGTGTGCATCTGAGATTAGAGAGGGTGCAGTGGTAAAGTGCTATTTTTATAAGTGGGGGGTGGACCTAACGCTCTCTAGGGTCCGGGGGCATGCTCCCACGGGAAGATTTTTTTTTAAATATTGAAGTTAAAAGCATCAACCTGGTGCACTTTGAGAGCAAAATGAAGAGATCTATGGATACATCTCTCAACACCCATATGAAACAGAACTGTAAGCAGATTTACTTTTTCTTTATGGATATTTTACAAATCACTCCCCTTTCAAGACCGAAATGTCTACATGCATAGCAGAAGATGGCATCTTTTTTACAGGAATATTCCAGCCAATCTCTGTTTTGAAACCATGAGCTGCAAAATGAGCGCCTTACCCCACTACAGGCGAGTTGGGTACTTTTTTAAATATACCTGGGCAGGCTCTGTTTTGCCGAGGTCCTCTGGCACTTGCGGGCCGCCGAGGGGTGGCGGTGTTTGGGGCAACGAAGACGACTGCTCCACCTCCGTGGGCGAGGCGGGCGGGAGGACGTAACTGTCCACGACAGTGGCCGCGGGTAACGTAATGTCCCCATGATCTGAACTGTTATTACCTGCAGTAATTACTGCAGTGTTACTGCTGGCGATAAGGGCTGGTTGTTTTAACCATTTTCTGATGTCCATCATTGACTGCTGTGTAAGAACTTTGCAAATGACGAAAGCGCAGCGGCACAGGTCACGCACACCTGACATAATAACGTTATTTACCGTTTAAATTGACCAAATAAATGCAGCAGACAATGTTATTTAACCACAATTACAATTTATTTTATTTCAACTATATTCTTCTTATTATTATTATTACTACTACTATTATTATTATATGTGTAATATTTTTCATTTTTCATTAAAAAAAAACTTTTATTTTTTCAAATGAGGGTGCATAACGACTCAACGGAGGGTGCAATGCACCCCCGTAGAACCGGGCCTGGCCACATCACATATCCAATAATCACATAAAGGGGGGTCATAAAAGCAGGAAACTGATTTTTTTTTTGACTGCCAATGGTACGATATTGGGTACAATTTGCTGGCGTTCAATTGAAAGCACATTTTAGTCTCGTGTGGATTTAGGTACAGTCGAGTCACTGAAGAAGCTGTTGTGTCCCGTCAAAAGTGTTGAGTCTAGTCATGTTTCAGTTTAGTCAATTGTTGTATTGTCTCCCACTTCCTGTTTTATTTTTGACACACCTGTTATGTTCATTCCAGGTTCCTTGACCCCCTACCCTGGTGTCTCTCCCGCTCTCATCAGCACCAGCCCGATTGTTTTCACCTGTGCCTAGTTAGCTCGTTTATATTCCCCAGTCTCCCCTTGTGTCAGTTCGTCTTGTCGCCATGCCAGTAGTCAGCGACTAAGTATTATGACTCAAGCCTAATTTATGCTCCAGAAGTCTTTAGTAAGTTTTATTCCTCACAATTTTCTTTTGTGCTTTTCTGAAACCGTGTTCACCTCGTCAAGACTAGAGTGTCGATCCTTATTTTGTAAATCCTCTTTGGAATAAAGTACCTTTTTGCATACTATACCTTTGTCTCTCGGGTCGTGCATTTGAGTTCAGTTCCTTGTGATTCCAAGTTCGTGACAGAAGCACCATGTGTCTGTGTAGTAAAGACTGAAATAGGATCAGGTAGCTGTACTATTGGGGTGATTAACACACGCAAATAGAAAGAGGTGCGAATTAAAACCCCTTAAAATAAGTAAGTACTACACCCTGTATTTCTTTTTGCAACTGGCATGACTGATTTTAGGGCTGATACAAGTTTTGGAAGTTAGAGCTGCTTTATGTAGAAGATTACATTTGATTTTGGCACGATACATATTGGAGGAACGTGATATATTCTCTGTGCTGGTGTTGTATTTCTGGAAAACATCGACCAAGAGAGGAACAGAACTGCTTCAGCGACTCATATTTCAGAGGGAGGAAGCATCAGAAAACACACACGGCTCCAGCAGCTGCATCCTCGTCGATACAAGGAAAAAGGAGCCTTTGACAGCAGAGCCTGAAAAAGACCGAAGTGAACCTCCAGATCTCTTGGCACACCTTTAAATCAGATCTTTGAGATGTCCTTAGATTTGTAGTCGGAGCACAACAACAACACATTTTGCTCGATTTTGCAAAAGTCGAGATTCTAGATTTACACGTAGCAGCTTTAGGAACAAATTGCATGTCAAGCGAGTCACATGATACAACAGTTTATTTATTCTCGTCCCCGTGGTACACAGCAAACATCCAGTCTGAAGGTTTGCAAAGGCACTAATTGTGTAGACATCCAATAAGAAATCATCAGGGGTCAAGTTGGTACAGAAGACTTTCTAACTGCGTCGATTACAAATGGGTAATTTGACTGGAAATATTAGTAGCATTCAGATACAGATTTATCACACATCGGGCAAACATTCAATCCAACTTATTAGATGAGAGAAAGCACCATCGTATTTGACTGAAGACCTTTTTTTTGCATGTATCGTTATTGTTAGAAACTTGCATTATGGATATTAACAGCACAAGGTTTGGAAGTGGGCAAGAGGTGGAGTTGTTGAACTGTTGAAGGATTTGTATGAATGTTTTAGGGGGAAATATGCTTTGCTTTCTTCCAGTCCAGCACAGCAAAAGCATGTTTTAAATCATGTATTTTGTACAAATTATACAGCTGAAATATAGTAAGTTGATCAGCTAAGCAGCTTCATAATCACAAGGATATGAGGGCGGTATGGTTGCTATTTAACTCTGCAAGAAAGCAAGTAAACACATTTCCTAAAATGTTTAATCCTTTAATATGACTGCTGTAATGTCTGTGTGATAACTACTGTAGGTCACTATGCACTCATGCGTGTGTACACTATCATTTAGATTTACACTCTAGCTGTGTAGACAGATGTGAGAACTGAGACTTTCTCGTCGGTCAGCGATAAAAAAAAAACGTGGGAATAATGTCATTTTTTTTTTTTTTTTTTAAATATCAATATTATCACCACAGTAAAATATGAAGTGTCACTGCTGGAGGACAGAGATGACCTGTGTGATAACTGCGATACACTGTACTGTTCACTTTTTGAATAAAATGTCATTCAAGAGCATTAACTATCAGCTTTTTTAGCACTTTAACCCAAATACATTTCATTTTGAGTGCCGTTCCTTCTTTGGTTTGTGTTACACCGGCACACACACACACACACACACAGGTGATCTGTACAGACACAATAACACTGAAACTATCCACAGTCATTTAGTAGTGATACAACAGCTGCTGTGTGTTGCCTGCTACAGGTTCAGCTAAAACCTTTTGCTTTTTAGATATAAAGGAAAGGAAGACCATATGTGCAGCAGAATCTTTGCACATCCAAACATTGTTGCTGGATAGATGGTGCGGGACAGAAACAGAGTCCAAAGAAAGGCGTGTTTCAGTCAGAGACGGCAGTTGAATACACTTACAATCTTGTTAGTGAGCAGTATCGAAGCGTTATTGAAACACTGAGAAAACCCCCTTTACATCCCTCCGACACGTCATAAACAATGTTCAGTTTATATAGGGATACGGAAGAGTTATAAAAGTACCCTGTGTTCAGCTGATACACACACAGCTTTGTGTCTACACCGTGTGCAACATTATGAGCATTCAGAGTCGAACAATCACTTAAGTTCTTACACTTCTCCGTCAGTCACAGTGATGAATAAAACAGACAATGTTAGCAAGTGTAAATGATGCGAGAAGTCTAAACATCTCAAAGCTGGTTATGTGGAAACTTGCCGATTAAGTCATTTCATCCAGTTCTTTTAAATCGATGCTGGTTAGTAGTTGCTACGTGGCTATGTTGTTGTTGATTACAACGTGAGCTTTCATTTCATAGTACTTTCCGTCAGTTTTTGATTTCCTTTCTCCCTTCCAGATCTAAGAGCAGTATACTTTGAGAACATATCATAGGAATGAGAACTATGAAAACAAGACCCAAGTAAGTTTACCCTTTAGTTTGTGTGCAGTATAATTAGACGATTTCCCATAGATGAAAACCATCTGGCCTTTAACACCAACGACACGTCAAAGTTGTCCGTAATGCGTCACTACAGCTTCAGTTGTGTTCAGGTTGCAACCGTCTCCAGCATTTTGAACATTTCACAGAGCCCTGAACCTGAACTCATTCTGTTTCAATCATCTTTACACTGTGAGCAGGTATGAGGACTTTCTCCGCTCTTCACGCCTGACCTCTTTTGTTCTGGATTTGTGTAAATATTGACCTCACCGCTTAAAGTAACACACAGTCAATCGTCTGCTTGGGTCCAGAATCCTTTGTGTTCCTTTATGAAGCCTCCGTTTCTGGTAGTCCTTGTACCTGGGTAGAGTTGCAGTACAAAACATCCGTAGAGAGAAACAGGAAATATCTTGTCATTTATATTATATAATAAATAATACGACTTTGTTCATATATTTTGTAAATGTAAAAAAAGTTCTGCCAAAAAGGGGGGGTCACTGGCTGGCACTTGATACAGAAGCAGCTGTTTGTTTTTTTTAAAGAAGAAATAATATATATTGCCTAATTTGGAGTATGAGGAGTCTGGGAATATAATCCATCTGAACTCTGAGTTTGAGGACGTGTCGGCAACTCTCAGCTCAGGGAAGATCAGAGAGGAGCTGGACTTAAGATGGAGTCTATTATGGTAACAAAAAAAACACAAGCTGTTACCTCTAACAAACCAGTTCCTTCTTCCTCAAGTCTTTCCCCCCAAACAGCATGTATCCATCCAGGCCTCAGATGGTGATATAGAAGCAGCTGTTTTTTTTTTTAAAGAAGACATCATATATATTGCCTAATTTTGAGTATGAGGAGTCTGGGAATATCTTAACTCCTGAGTTTGAGAACGTGTCGGCAACTCTGAGCTCTGCAGTCTGGGGAAGATCCTGGTCACGCTGCGAAATATCTTTATAGATCAGAGGTGTGTTTCACGTGAAGAGGAGCTGGACTTAAGATGGAGTCTATTATGGTAAAAAAATACCACAAGCTGCTACCTCTAACAAACCAGTTCCTTCCTCCTCAAGTCTTTCCCCCCCAAACAGCATGTATCCATCCAGAAAGGCCTCAGATGTTGACATGAAAAGAGTCCCAGCTGTCGTCTTTTGCGATGCCGCTCCCTTTCTTTCCCGTCCCGTCTCCCAGCTCTCCGTCCGGCCTCTCTCCGGTGGGCGTGGCTCCAGGCTCCGGGTAGTCCTCGTCGTCCTCGTCAAAGTATCCGTTCTCCATCATGCTGAGGCTGGAGGCGGCGCTCAGGTCCTGGCAGCTGCCCTTGTAGTCCTGGATGGACTCGTGCAGGGACCACAGCTGGCAGAGCAGGGACATGTCCTGCTGCCGGAGCCCCACCTGAAGGACGCATTCAGAGCATTACTTAAAGAGGGCTTTTTGCAAATGTACTTATATATTCTTGGTCTGTACTTTAAACTGATTTCTAGTAAGTGCACACTTTTTATTTGTTTGCATTATTTTGTAATCTACCATATGTCTAATGTTGGGGAATGTCCGGTTGTTTATGTGTAATGTGATAAATGTAAAAAATCATGTTAAAAATCAAATTTAAAAATACACGAGGCCGTTTTCTCCTGGTTGTCAAAGGGGGCCTATTATGCTTTTTGGGGTTTTACTTTTGTTTTAGATAATCTGTGAATGGTTCTCTTAGCTCTGCATACAGCCTGATACAACTAAAGCTACTACTATTAACCTTTCTGTTGGTCGCTTGTTAGCAGACCCTTCACGCGATGGCAGAGCGAACAGGTACAGGCAGGGCCCTTAGTGATAGCCCTATAGTTTAAATCAGGGGTTCCCAACCTTTATTGTGCCAAGGACCGGCAGATACATTAAAAAAAAAGTCGCGGACCGGTTGTAAATTTTAACTGATTTTAATATTTACTCACCAGCAGGTAGCAACAGAGGCTAATTGTATGTAACAGCCTGAACAAATACTAGAATAATATGCATCCAAAACATATTAACAACGTTTAAAAAAGAACCGGTGTCGTTTTTTGGTTTTTCGGAAAAACGGAAAACCAAAAAACCGACGTTATTCAATTTTTAAACCAAAACGGGAAAACAGATAAATCAACGTTTTGGTTTTGTTTGTACGATTTACGGATAATCCAGTGATGGGAAAACGAGGAGAAGGCGCATTATGAAGGAGATGTCCGGTCGCCTGTGTGTGTTTTTTTATTTTTTTTATTTATCCTTTATGTGTGTGTGTGTGTGTGTGTGTGTGTGTGTGTGTGTGTGTGTGTGTGTGTGTGTGAGTGTGTGTGTGTGTGTGTGTGTGTGAGTGTGAGTGTGAGTGTGAGTGTGAGTGTGGTGTGTGTGTGTGCGTGTGTGTGTCACTGGCATTTGTTTTCGGCACTGTTAGACATCGAGATTAAGATTAAACTAATTTATTTTGGGAACACCCGCATATAGGCTACCTATGGAGTTAGCCAGATGTGTGTAAACTACTGTTCATGGTCATTTGAAAACAAATGCCGGTGTCGGACAGACACAAACACACCGAACACGCTGAGCTGAGCAGAGCACACACACACACACATCATGCGCCTTGGTGACTGGACATCTCCTTCATAAAACTAATAAAAGGGGGAGTAATCGGGCAGTTCGATGTGTGTAGCGATATGTGTAGAGGTGTGTGTGGTTAACACGTAGCAGCCTGCAGTCACTCTTAAGCTGTTCTGATGAAGGTAAACACAGCGAAGGCGGTGCGTAAAAAGGCACAGCTCTTTACCCGCTGGTGCTGCACTTCTCAGAGGCGGAGTTACACGTCCCGCTGCCTCCTGATGCTGCAGCCATTTCATGAAGTGAAGGAGGTTTTCCTTCTATAAAACAGCTGCGGGCAGCAGATACCGTGAGAGTCCCGGACATGAATTCATAGATCAAGGCAGACTGGTTTACTCTCCTGTTTTGCCAATCCGGTGCTTAAACAAATAGCTCTACACCCCTGGCCAACATGTCCTTAAAATGAAGTCTGAGTTTGAAATATATCTCAAATAATGTATGCACTGCCATTTCCCCACATAAACATAACAGTCTGCAATTAAATGGTTGTCTGCTGTGCGCTCCTCTTCCTACTTGGCGCACCGGTAACTTTCTAAACCGGCCCGGTACCGGTCCGCGGACCGGTGGTTGGGAACCCCTGGTTTAAATCTACTACCCACAAATAAACATATGGACATCACATGGGTTACTATTTAAAAAAAAAAAAAAATGGTAAATGTATTTAGGAACCTATCAATGTGATTTTAAGTGGGGGTCGACCTCAAATCCTCTAGGGGGGTCCGGGGGCATGCTTCCCCGGTAAGATTTTTTAAATTTTATTTTGGAGTTAAATGCATCAATCTGGTGCACTTTGAGGGGAAAATAAAGAGACTAGATCTATGGGAACACCTATATGAAACAGAACTGTATACATTTCAATAATCATAAGAACATGGCCATAACCAATAACATCCCATTTCCAATATGACAAAACAGGGAACACTGAAACTTGTTTATTTATGTTTGGTTCATTTATAGTTGTGAGCAGAGGTTGCGCTAGACTTTTTCACTGCCCGTCATTTTGACGGACAGGATCGTAACATTTTCGTCAAAATTCAGTGTTACCCGTCGGCCTTTACACTCTGGGGGGGGGGGAGAGAGAAAGAACTATCAACCGGGGGGGGGAGAGCACGGTCGTGAACAGTTAACGGGGGGTGTGGGGGGGAGAGCACGGTCGTGAACAGTTAACGGGGGTGTGGGGGGTAGAGCACGGTCGTGAACAGTTAACGGGGGTGTGGGGGGGAGAGCACGGTCGTGAACAGTTAACGGGGGGCGGGGCACACGCTCGTGAACTGTTAGCGCCGTGTTATGCATGCCCACTGCACCTCACAGGAGTGCGCACAGCGTAAAGCCAAAACTCAGACATTTCAATGATTTGTACGGCAAAGTTGGGTTTGGAAACGGTATCATTTCCTTTTTGGCAGGCATGCATAACACCGGAGCCTCGCTGCGGGGAAACTTTGGCGCTGTTCCGAGTTTGTTCTAATCCGTCAAAATGACGGACTGCTTTCAGATTTTTCCGTCATTGTTAAAAAAAATCCGTCATAGACGGAAAATATTCGGTTAACGCAACCTCTGGTTGTGAGTGTGTCTGGGCTCCTGAATCAGCCTCTCCCGTCTCCCTCCTCTCCCCCCTGCTCCTCTTTGAGGCAGCAGCAAAGACTAGTTTTAGCTCTCAATAAGTTTTAACAGTTTTTTCACCTAGTTAACTTTTCTTTTTTTTTATTCATGCATATTTTACTAATCACTCCCCCCTCAAATGGAAATATGTGTTTACATAAATGGTGACCAAACCGTTTGAGACCCACTGAGAACTTAGACTAAGTTAAGTATCTAAAGACTCAGAGTCCTTTACCTCACCTGAGCTGAGGTTATCCCGAGCTTGAATGACACAGAGACCAATCAAGAGCTTTGATTTATGATCTGTATGACAGTGGCCATGTCGGCAGGCCACATCATGTGGACAGCCAGTCACCCTGTGAGAGGCAGGCCACTTAACAGGCCAGGCCATCGGGAAAGCCCCCGGTCCTCCCGATGGCCAGTCCGGGACTGGGTACAGGAGGCGTAGAGCGAGGGATCATTGTCCACAAGTTAATCGATCGCAGATGGCGTCATGGTCACGGACGAATTAAAAAAAAAACTAAATGGGTCGCGAAATATACTTGGGCGGCCGTTAATATACCTGGGCGGCCCGCCCAAGTATAGTCTATGTGTGGGAAACCCTGAGTACCATTTATTTTCAAACACCGGCACAAACCTAAAATATATTTTGTTAGCCACAAAATGATTCAAATCCCCAGAGTTACAAAGCCGGAGCAAAAAATGATTAATTACAGCTTTCTCCTGGTTGTTAAAGGTCCTGTGTCATGCTTTTCTGGTTATTACCCATCCCCTTGTGTGTTATGTAGCTTTTCTGCAGAGTCACAAACCCTCAAAGTACACCCTGTAGCGAGTAAAACTCTAACACAGAAAATACCTGTCTATGCTGCCTCCAGAACGCCTCGTTGGAGATTTTCTTTTTCTATTGTTTACTTCTTGGGTATAGTGACGTATTTCGGGTATAGTTACGTTTGGACCAATCCGCGGGCTTCCTCATACACACACACTTCGGTAGAAATGGCCATGACATGGGAACTTTAAAGGGGCCGTATTGTGCTTTTTAGGAGTTTACATTTTTTTAGATAATCTCCGAGTGGTTCTCTAAACTCTGTAGAAAGCCTGAGACAACTAAAGCTACTAAGGATTATTTAGTACCCTTTATTTTCGAACACCAAAATGATTCAGACTTACAAAGCCGGAGCTAATGAACCACGACTTTTACTGTGACTTTATTTCAAAAAGCAAAACATTGGAGTAATCTTTTCAGCTAAACAGAGAATTTATGTGCAAATGATATTAACAAACTAGCCGATTCATTGATAATTTGATCAAAAGATGAATGATAGCTAAACGGTTTGATAATCAATTAATTATTACGGGTTTTTTTACAAAGAAAATTCCAAATGTTCACTGGTTGCAGCTTTTAAAATTAAAATGTATTTGTAAACTGAATATATTTGGGATGTTTGTCAGACAAAACAACACATGGTGGTCATATTTAAAAAAATGCATTCATCTCAAGTGAAATCAACCAATAGGAGAGGAGATTAATCCGTAGCTGCTTCCCTAACTGACATTACTAATTCACGGAATAAAGAAAAGATACATCGACTGGCAGAGTTCAAAAGTGCATTTCTGACAGAGTGAACTGCGGGTCGCTGCATTGCATCCACACAAATCACTGTCAGTTCAAACAGCTGAAGCCTCATGCTCCATAAAGTGGGGAGCGGCTCACAGATTCTGACCAATAGGACATCGACAACGTATTAAACGGTGTCAACTACAACCTCATAGTTACACATTAACAGAGCAATACCCTTTGATCAGAGAGCAGGGGGAGTAAAGCAGGGGTTTAGTGAAGCCTGTAAGGTCCAAATGCCAGAGAGGTAGAGTTTCATACAGTTTGACTCTAAATGACTGGCTGTGAGGAATGCTTTTGTCATGGATTCACTAAGAGCCGTGGAGGAGTCTACCTTGATACTGAAACTCTGTTATTAAATCCCTGCTGCTGGCAACGGGGAGTAAGAGTGTGTGTCACTGTTTACACCCCAATTACTGTAGCCTTATAATGTCTTAGTATTCACTACAGGTCAGGGTTACATGCTAGCTCATGAAAACAGTTTTATACTGATACTAAAAGGTATTAAATTGAGCTTAGACTATAAATCAGCATGAGCGTAATGACTTAATTTGACTTAATGACTGCAGAGCTTATCCTGATCCTGGTTTCTCTTGTATTCTTACTGCTAGAGTTTGAAAAGACTTCATGTAGCATGTACAAATATACACTCTGGGAATCAATGGGGTCTTTTCATAACCTCGGTAAACATACATTTCACTAAACAGAGCTGATATTGTGCAAAAATAGTTTGGGGCTAGTCAGGGTCCAATGATGACTTTCTATCACTAAAATGTAAGTGGACTGCAGGAAAGAAAGTGAAATCCATACCTGAAGATGATATTAATTATATGTATGGTCATTTATATGTATGCCGAATGTGACAGGAAACTCTTACAACTTGTACAAAGTCGTAAACTTTGTGTTAAGAAGTGTGTAAATATGCACAAATCCAGGAAACATCCAAATCTATCGATCATTAAAATGTAAGACGAAAATGCAGGAAAGAAGCTAAAGCCATTCCTGAAGATGACATCAATTCAGGCAATGGTAAATGGTGTGTATGCTGACATTTAAAAGGAGACTATTATAATTTGTAAAAAGCCTTAAACCGTGTGTTAAAATTAGGGATGTAACGATACCAAAAACTCACGGTACGATAATATCACGATAAAAAGTCCACGGTACAATATTTATCGCGATATTGAAAAATAAAAAAATTGAATTTTTTTTTCTTTATTAAATAATCAATTAAAAAAAAGATTTGTACAGCATTTTAGTAGGATAGTAGTATTTTAAAGTGTCAACAATATAATAATCAGACCCTGCAATAAAATAAATCAAGTTTCACTTTAGTTTTTCAAGTAACTCAACTCTAACGGCCCGTCTACACTACAGGCATCAAAAAATCTTGAAGCTGGGCGTGTCTGAAGCTTGGCGATTTTTTGCGAGCAACGCGACCAACAACCAATCACATGAATCTCCCGCCCCCGACATACAAAGCAATAGCAATGTTAAAACGAAGTAAACTGGATATAAAATCCCCAAACAGGCGAAAACCTACCAGTTTCCCCCACTGTCTCTGCCACCTCCCTCCATGCCTGCTTCCTCCACTGTCTCTGCCTCCTCCCTCCATGCCTGGTTCCTCCGGTTTGTATCCCGGTAAATAGTTCTGGTCGGAAAGAACCGGTTGATTTGCTACCGTAATTTCTCGTTTGGAATATGAGGAAATGAACTGCGGTCTGGCTCTCCCAGCTTGCACGCGGTTTGATTGGCTAGTGCTTGTACTGGCGGGAATTGCAAAAACGGGATTTGATTGGCTGACGCCAGCTTCGAACAAGCATCGATAGACGCTCGCGATGCTTGCAACGCCTTGCCATGCTACCCACTATGCAGTTCGGCGAAGTTTGAAAATATCCTACGTCACCCCATTCAAATGAATGGGCGAAGCGTTGAAAGCATTTTTTTGACGCCTGTAGTGTAGACGGGCCGTAACTCACTCACTCGGCATCATCAAGGTTATCTTTTAGGAATATGAGCATGTCCACATTTCCCGGTAGAAGCTGGGATGTTTGGGCGTTTACAATATCCCCTGCTGTGGAAAAAACTCTCTCGCTTGGTACTGATGTTGCTGGGACAGAGAGATATGCTTTGGCCATGGGTGACAGCAGTGGGTCAAACTGTGCATTGTCTCTCCACCACTTCAAAAACAATACAGTGTTTGCCAAGAAGGTGAGGCTTATTGACAGGGCGAGATATAAATATACTGTTGGTACTTGTCAATGTCTCTAGGTATGTACATGTAGCCCTGTAAATACGATGTCCTTTTGTGTTATCTGTTGTTTTATGTTCATGTTGTAACCTACTTGCTGCCATGTTGGACAGGTCTCCCTTGAAAAAGAGATCGATGATCTCAATGGGACCACCTGGTTAAATAAAGGTTTAAAAAAATCGCGGTAGATTGTGTCAGTATCACGACGGTATTGAGACATTTATTTACCGCAATATCGCGATATTCGATATATCGTTACATCCCTAGTTAAAATGTGTGTAAGTATGCCAGACGCCAGACACCATCCACATACCAGTTTCTTTAAAGGCTTTGAAGCAGACCCATGTTCATACAAGATGATATTTTAATCCATGTATTTTAGTGCATGTTAAATGGTATGCATGCCGAATTAAGGAGACTCTTATCATATTTTAAAAGCCTTGAACTGTGTGATAGAGGTGTGTAAATATATGCACAAAGCCAGGCAACATCTAAATATATCTATCCCTAAAATGTATGTGGGCTGCAGGGAGAAAAGCGAAATGCATACCTGGAGAGTGAGACGATATTTAATTCACGCAATGCTAAATGGTATGTATGCCGAATTAACTAAGCGCCTTTTACCATTTGTAAAAAGCCTTAAACTGTGGGTTAAGAGGTGTGTAAATATGCACAGAGCCAGGCTACATCCAAATGCCAGAGCTTCTTGAGGGGATTTGGCTGGCTCTGAATGTAGAGCGCAGAGGGATTAAAACATGTCGACAGACCAACCAACGGACAGGGACAAACTGACCACTTTCTTCTCGCTAAATACAACTAAAATGTTACCATTTCTTTCCGCAGGAGAGCCAGGGCAGCGTCCAGGTTGGCCGGCTTGTGTGACAGCAGGTTGTCGTTTCTGCCCCGGCTCAGGTCGTCCTGGATCATGGTCTTCTTCACGTACATCCTCTCCATGTCTCTCCAGGAGCCGCCGCTGGAGTTCAGCAAGCCGCTCAGGCTCTTCGGCAGCGGGGGAAGACCCTCGATACAGGCCATGCCCCCCAACGAACCGTTCGTAGACTTACCATTCATCGTCCTGTGAGTTACTGGCCGAAAAGATGCTGGGATTTAACACTAACGGTGACTGTTTGTTGGGGTAGAATCCTGTAAATGTTGTGAATAAACGGCCGTCTCTTCCACACCAAACAGACTGAGCAACAGCCGTGGTTTTCTCTGCTGAGGGCGGCCGGTGACGACACGTCAAAGTACCCGGATTGAAGTAATTTAATTTCCGGTTTGACCATCAAAATAAAGGGGCTTTTTTTTGTCCTACAATACATATATATAAAATGTACTGTAGGTTCTGAAATCATTGTTATCCATTCAACAACTACAAGTTAAACAATCTATTACTGTAAGAAGAATATGTATGTAACTCTGTGGAATATATACGATTGAATTGTATCAATAAAGTACTTATCTATCTATCTATCTATCTATCTATCTATCTATCTATATCTATCTATCTATCTATCTATCTATCTATCTATCTATCTATCTATCTATCTATCTATCTATCTATCTATCTATATATCTATCTATCTGTCTATATGTCTATATGTCTATATCTATCTATCTATCTATCTATCTATCTAATGTAATCTACCACACTGTATTCTGCATGTTACACCTTTTTATTTTATAAATAGTGCTGCTACTTACTTATCTAACTGAATGTGCACTTCTGTACATTTTAATGTATTTATTATGTGCATGTCTTTCATTTTATTGCTGTATTATTTTCATCTCTATCTATACTTAGCTCTCACAATGTAAATGTCCCCTCTGTGGGACGAATGAAGGAATTCAGAATCTGATTCAAACGTACATTTGAATGTTGAATCAGGTTTAGGAAGACAGAAACGTTTGGACCTTCACCAACCATGATACGATATAGGTTTGTTGGCTTCGTATAACTCATTACATTCAATAATTGGGCCCTATGGATGCATTTAAAGGGATTTAAAGGGGACCTACAGTACCATGCAAAATGCACTTTTTGATGTCTTTTATACATAAACATGTGTCCCCGAACGGTGTGTTGGGGAACTCAGTCAGAAAATAAAGCCCTCTCTCTTTTCCTCCGTACCCAAATCTCTAAAAACAGGGCTACAACGGAGCTGATCCAGATTTGCGTCCGATATGACGTAATATCTGAAATGTAGGCTGGCTTTACACCCACGGCCCAATCAGAAACGTTGCTATCAGAAACAATGCCCGACTGTTTTGGACGTAATATGGTCGGTGTTTACATTAGCATCGCTAACACTCAGAGCTAACCTGTACTGGAGAGCATGTGTGTGAAGAAGCAGGAAATAAAGAGGAACTCACCTTGTGGTATAACCGGCAAGAGAGAAAGCCTTTGAGCTCCATACTGTTTCAGAGATAATCCTTGATAATCCATGATATGGCGTTTCATCACCGCAGTATTTAGTTTAGACCAGTCGTTCTCAAATGGGGGTACGCGGACCCCTAGGGGTACGTTGGAGTACTGCAGGGGGTACGTGAGATTTATTTTATGTAATGAAAAAAACAACATAAGTCATGCATTTAAACAAACTACTAATAGTAGATTAACTACTTTATTCAAAAGTTTACAGTAACTCTGGATAATAAAATGGGAAAAATAAACGGGGTGCTCTCTTTTCCTCTCCCTCTCCTGACAGCCTGTCAGTCTCGTGCAGCTCGCTGAATCTGTACTAAGTGACCCGACAGTAAAGAATACAGATATTTATAACTAGTTTAGCTTGTTCCAGAGTAGATACACTAGCTAAGTGTGTTAGGTCGAACTCTTAGTGTATTTTGCTCCGCTCACCGGTCCGTCACAGCGGGGGAGCTGTGATCCGGAAGACCTGCGTGTTCTCCGTTATGATCTGATCTCTCTCGCGTCCGGTTAGACTTCACTCGCGTTTATGTCCAAATCTATCAGATCTAGCTAGTTCTAGTTAGTAGTAGTGACTGCCTGCTTATCAAAGGACCTAAACAATAAGCGATGCTTGGCAACGGCGTGTGGCCGCAAAGTATAGCGCAGCATTATGCATATGTTTATATGAGGGGTCAAAATCCCATGCTCATAATATGCTCATATATTTTTTTCTCTTCATTCCCCACGCCCCTAAATAAATAAATATTCCAATTTTAAGAAAAGTAAGGAAGTTTGAGCAGTGTGGGTTTTATATTAACAGAGTTACACATATTTCAGAACGCGAAATGTAAAACTGCAGTTTGCCTCGCTGTCAGAATGACAAAGATCCTCAGTGAAGCACAAGCCCATGTTTCTCACTACATTGTAATTACAACTTATTAAAAAGATCAGTTCAATGCAACTAATGTCGTCTTAGTGTTATTGCATGATGTTAAAATTGGTTTGCCATGAATTTAGTGATGGATTCTAAACATTTGAAATGTAGCATTTAAGTGTTTCTCAGTTACAATGTTGCTGTTTTAATAAATCAGACACTGATGGTGCAGCGCTGTACTGTACCTCTTTACAGTAAATAGGCATTTTTCCTTAACAAATTGTTTTTGCGCTGACCAGGGGGTACTTGGCTGAATTCTTTTTTCAAAGGGGGTATATTATTGAAAAGAGTTTGAGAACCACTGGTGCTGCCGGGTCCCGCATGAGCTCAGCCCCCTCCTTTTTTTAAATCTATTTTTTTTTTTTAAAGCTTTATACCCAGAATCAGCACTTTTGAAACAGGAAGTGAAATAGAGGGATTTGAGGCATGGCTAGAATGGGCGATCTGCTTGGTATTTGGAGCAAAACACTTCATAGACATGTTTTTAATATTTGTTTTATATATCTGAAATATGCTATTGCCTAAAAATATTATGATAGGTGACCTTTACTATGACTTTGTGGCCAACACATCTGGCTGCATGACATTTTGATGGACTGGTTTTGTTAATGACAAATGTTGATTGTTTTTTTTTTAGTATGGGCATTTTTATAAATGTTTTTTACTAAGAAATGTAGATGTAGGTTCTGTAAACATGTTTTCCTTTTCACAATCACAACCCTACATTTTTCATGTTGAGTCAGGTTTAGGGATGGTACACCATTCGACCTTGATAGTATAATGGCGACTATAATTAGATTTATTCCACATAATTTATTCAACTAGAGCTGGTCCCTCTGGGGGCATTTGAAGGGTTTTAAATGACTTGGAGGCAGACACATCTGGCTGTTGATGTTTTGATTAATTGGTTATTTTAATGAGGAATTTTGGTTAAGATATTAGATATGTTATGTGTTCATTGTTTTATATTGTTGTATATCTTATCTTATCTTTTTATTAAATCAGAAGACTCTTGAATATAGTATATTTTCATACAACTACAAAGCAGCAAAAATATCAAAGGCATTGACCAGTTAAATGATTTATTCAGGTATTTGGAGACATGTATGAAAAGTGGACATATACTGCATTTTCACAGAATAATTGTGACTACTCTAAAATGTAATTTAAAAAATCGACATTTATTTTGAAATCCAACTCCCGGTCATCTCATGGTTGGATATTACCTTGATGGTGCTGATTGTGGCTGAGAAGTCAAATCCGCTTCCTGTCCATTTAACACTGTGGCTGCTGGGCGTCTCCCTAGGCAGGAAAACTGAGTCTGTTTGATCTGTTTAAGTTTTTTAAATTCAAAATGATTTGAACACCAGTAGCTAAAGATATTTTGACCAAAGCATAACAAATTCAAAATATATTCTTTACTGTGTTAGTGAAGAAACGAGGTAAGATATTTGACAAACATTTATGATAAGAAATAAGAAACATACATTCCACCTTGAATATACAGTATAGCCAACGACATTTAGCTATAACATCAATACAGATTACTTCATATACACTTTCTATTTGGATACATTAATAACTATTGGAGAAACATATACACAAGTCTTAATAAAAATGACTACAAAAAAGAGAAACAAGATGATTGAATAAGCTAACGGATGTGATCTTGTGTAAGTATTAATCTTTCTATGATGTTCGTGCTCTAATAGTGAAACATTGAACACTCAATACTTATTTAAAATGTAACTGAAGGCCTTCCTATCAGCTTAATGTTGGAATGTAGTGTTCATTTGAGTGCCTGCAATAAACCTAATTGATAGATTTCCCCCAGCTGAGTGCAGGCATAGAGTATGAGGTCATGATGGGGGTATGTGTGTGTGTGTCTGTGTGTCTGTGTGTGTGTGTGTCTGGGGACAATAGTTTTAGAGTATAAAGGACAGATGGTTGGCTTCACTTCCCGCACCCCCAGCCTGCAGCTCCGTAACAGCAATATAACAACAATAACCTTGAAATCAACACACAAAAGCATCACACACGCTCCCCGGCAAAAGAGGAGCATGTGATCTACCACACACACACACACACACACACACACACACACACACACACACACACACACACACACACACACACACACACACACACACACACACACACACACACACACACACACACACACACACACACACACACACAGTCAGGCAGATGGATAATGTAATCTACTAAAATGAATTGAATCTGACTCCTACAGACAGCATCATGTGCTTCTTCTTATGAGCACCCTAGAGCCAAGCTTACAAAATCTACACTTATTGCTACAAAAAACAACAATTTGATTTTACTTTCATAGGCTATTAGACAAAAAGGTGCTGCTGTCAGACCTTATCATGTATTTGCCTTATTGGGAGTGGGTGCATAGATCTTAATCTCTGTACGCGTAAAATAGTTTGCATTGACTGACAAAAAGTAGTAAAGGGTCAGAAATATAACTCAATGAAATCATATTAACAATTTAAGAGTTAAAATAGAGCTAAAATGTATCCTTTTCCTTAAACCCTTAATTATTTTAAAAAGCCAACAAGCTACTATTTGGAAGCAAATGCTAAGACCACTAGTGTGTTCAAATCAAATCTTTTAATCCACTTTGTACCTCATCAATTTACAGTGTTGTCATACACATATACAACTCTGTTTCCTGACTAATATTCATGTTTTGGGATGGATAACCAACAATGTGACTTCCTAACTGTTAATTCCATGCTATTAATACAGTGTCAACTACTACATTTGCCGTTGAAAAGCATCTGTACAGTACAGCCTAATCCTGCTCTCAGAAACAATCAGCCATGCGCCGACCGTCCTCAGCTGCAGACCGATCAGGGACAATCTGTTTTG